TCGGCTGAGATGATCGAGGATTCCTTCGGTAGGGAGCAGTAAAATCGTGTTCCTTTCGATTTCAAATGTACACTACTACTACCACAGGCGTTAGGCGTTATACAATAACCGGAATATGTACGTTCATGTCTCCCATGTGCGTGGAAAAGAACACAATGCCAGGAAGGATCGATGTAGACAGGAATAACTGAACTCGGTGGCCGTGAGTTAACATGGCACATTAATTACGTCATTCAGACCTACGACGCTGGCAAATATATTCAAATTTAAATGTTCAACTATTACAAGCCACAACTTAAAGGTACATGATCAAAGATCGCGGTTGGCACGAATGGAAAAGCATATCTCCAGTCCGGTTGATTCGGTTTTGGGTTATTTTACATATTGACCTATCAGAACCTGATGGCCACAAGACAAGTAGAATTATCTTATCTGTGCAGACAGCGAAAGAATCTTCTGCTTGGAGGGCCAGAGGAAAATCAAAATCTCAGCCAGGAAAAATAGGGTGTAATATAAAACAGACATCAAAGAAATATTGATTAATGATGTGGATTGATATAGCTCAGGAGCGTTCAATGGTGTGATTCTGTAAATAGGATAACGAAAGCCGATGTTGGTCTTCTGGGTTCTATCATCATGTGGACTTGTATGTAGATACCAACGTTTTGGAGAAACATGATAACTCCACCTGCAGTTTTAAAGATGGAGGCAGTATGTTCTTCCGAAACGTTGGTATTTACCTACAAGTCCACACGGAGTTCCAACCCAGAAGACTAACATCGACATCTCGACTATCGTGAGAATCTCTGATCTCATAAAGAGTAATAAACCTTCAAGTTATATAAAAGCAATGCATTACATGACACGCTGAGCAGCTATTAAGATTCTTCAGCACAGAGTTACTTATATGAAAAAGAAGACGACAACAGATCATGAACTTCAGACTGTTAATTGGATTGACTGAATTCCTTCATAGCAGCTCGTGTCTGCGTCAGGAAATCAGTTCCTTTGCTTTAAAAAAAATGCTGTCGTACGCTACCCGGATGGCATACCCGTACACGTCAAACTGGTTGTAGTGCGTGGGGGTTCATTGACTGATTGCAGACAAAAAACACACCGCATCAAGATGCACGGCACCATTTCAAGTTCATCCAGTCCAGTCAGTAGCATAAACTGGTCACACAGGTATTCAATACTTTCAAGTCTTCGGGCCTATTTTCCTTCTTTTTCGATACCGACTTACAAGAGGCGATCTGACAACACGGGCGACAACTTCAGAGCCGTCTGGCCCCCACCGAGTAGTCTGGTAGAATCTTACCACGTTTCAGAGGTCACTGCAGCCCCCATCATCAGGCAGATGGAGGCAGCAAGGACCTCTGAAACGTCTACCAGACCACACGGCGCTACAACCCAGAAGACAGCAATCTTCGCTCTCACCGCCGTCAGAACCTCACACTCTGCAAATAAGAATAGCTCGCTGCTTCTACAATCCGGTCATTTGAGGACGGCGGGTTCCTGTCGGTTATGATTCGCTAAACTGTCGTTGAATACAAATCAACTTTCTGCAATTGACACACATCGGGTGGTGCAGATAGCCAGAAAGGGAAAAGAGCGGCACAGTCCCGCAATGCATGCACGTAACACACAGACCTTGCAACCAAATACAGATCTTCCGGCCTATTCAGTGGGTATCGGCGATAGACGAGGTGGCGAAGAGAAACATTTCCGACGCAGCTGATCGGAGCCAGGTCTCCGAACGCGGAGCACCATATAATACTCCTCCTTTGAATACCAGACTGAGCGGAACAGTAGTTGGGCAATGAACTCCGGACACGCCAACCGTCAGCTATCACGCGAAGTCGAGAAATTGCAGCACAAAGAAAAAGCAAGAACCAGAACTTTCTACAACTAAAATTTGCAGCAGTACAGCTAAAGACGCGCTCAGGCATATGTCTTCATCATTAATGGCGGAAAACCTCGCGGGAAATCAACTAATGGTGTTCGATAGAATAATATTAAAGTTGACTGAAGACAAATGAAAACAATAAATTAATACGTGTTTTTGGTTCGAAAACCTGGAGGAAAGTACCACTTCGGAAGCGAGACTGTGAAACAAGTCATGTTAAGTATCAAAACGGGTCCTGCACTCAAAATTCTCGTAGAAAGACACTTATATATTATATTAATAAACAATCGAAAAATTCGTAACTCCTATTTTCCTTCCATCTATAGAGATGCAATTGAGTAATACAAACTGCACAAAGAATTTTCAATATGAAACCACAGAAAGCGACCATTTGGAAGATGAAATAGATACTTGAATGTGGCGAGAACGAAACTAACTCCAAAGAAAAGAGGTCTTCTTTAGAAGTTGACAGTAGCTCACCTAGTGAAAAAACCCTCAGATTTTTATGACACTCGAATATTGATTATCATGTTCACAAAATCCTAACACCGATCCACATCTTGAACCAAACGAATCCAGCTCACATCTCCACACCATCCACTTTAATTCCATTCTCTTTGATTTAATCTTCTCTAAGACTACAGATTACGAAGCTCTCCATTATGGGGCAACAACATGAATACCAAAAAAGTAGTTACCATTTAGGAACATAAACAGAAAACCGGGTTTCTAGCACCCATTCCATACGTTACATAGTACGTGCGGGCCAT